ATTTCTCTTATTTTATTGTCTTGTTTTAAACCCACTCCATTACTTCATTTTGACAGAACAAAGGCAAAGTATTTGTCCTATATTTCCCAGATTACAATGAATCTCTAATATTAAAAAATCACTATTATAACTAATTTATTTTCATTAAAGAACACGAGTACTTTTAGCATTCACTTCTGCTTATCTTTCCTTATTCATTTTTGTTTCCATTCGGTTTGCTTTTGCCCTATGTTTTTTGCAATTTTGTTATTTCATTAGCAACCTCCAAATGTTTGTGTTTTATCTTCATGAATCTATGATTGATCCCCTAGTGAAATTCTAAGACTTGCCTTTCTTCCCTGCTGTTTTAGTATTTCTTTGTAATATGTTAGCTTCAATTAATTATCCATTGGTACTTATTGTAGCTACACATATTAAAAGGCAAAATGTTTCTGAAGGCAATTTGTCTTTAATATGCTTTATATAAATGAGGCTTCATCCTTTCCATATTCTGCCCCTTACAGGATTTGAATGCAAATAAGTCTCACCCCCCTGCACTTGTAGTCAAATAAGTAAAAGGGGAGGTCAGGTCCATCACACAAGGTCACATATAATAGCCTCCCTCACTGACTCTTTCCCTCTCCATAATTGCAGTAACCTGAGCACTAGCAGTTTAATTTCCATTAGACAGAGGACTAGTTTAGTTATTTGACAAGGGAATGTGGTTGAAAGCCTCATATGAAGGGTCTTGCAGCTTGTAAAAGCAGTTTCCAAAAATGAAACCCATTCATCATAAACAAAAGCACAAACACATGTAGCAGTTATAATACTTTTGGTTTAATCTCAATTAGTCTTTCTCCCCTGGACTAGAAATCCAGTATAGTTTGCCATTAATTTATTGAATCTGGTTTTGGACAATGCTTCTGTAGTGTAGCTGCACGTCCTGGTACTGTATCCTCCAATCTTTATTTTCCATGTGTTACAAAAGGAAAAAAAATGAGATTACGCTTGCATAAACTCTAATTTGCACAGTTCACAGCTACTACTTGTGCAGTAATTGCTTTATGCGGCTGTAATCCATAACATGTGAAGACAGCACATCATCTAAATCCCATTCCAAATAATATTTCTGTGTAGTGTTAGCTGTGAATTTACCCTGTACAGCTGTATCTCTATAAATATAATTCCATGTATTAATAGTCACAGAAAGACTGTAAGTGAGCAACTATTTTTATGAAACGCACCACTATGGATAAATTAACTTTTACAGAAATCTTGTTTACTGTATGATATTCTAAAACACTGTCAAATAAAATATATATCCAAGAATCTTTTCTTTTTTCAACTATATAAGTTGTGTGTTAATTTAAAGTAGAAAATTACTGGGGGTTTATTTGGTTTTTAAAAACTGCAATTTTCACATATTTACCCCAAATAGAACTTCTTTGAAACTTGATTCTTAATGTAGTAGCATTACATGGGAAAGACTGTTGACTTTTTGTCCCAAGTAAACTTAGAATTTTCTCAGAGACAGTCTAGCTGGTATTTGCCTGTCAGCTTACTACCTTATTTGCGAATTGGCAATATGTTTCCAGAGCTTGCTATGTTGATTGATACTGGGCCTTTTTTTTTTTTCCAAAAAGGATTCAAAATATCAATCAACAATAAATTCCATCCCATCATCTCCTGTTAATTCTGAAACTTTTTCATACAAATTCTCAAGGATGTAAAAGTCCAAAATGAATAGCCAAATATAGATTTTGCAACGTATTGTAATACCTGGATCAGAGAGAAAAAGGGTTCTACATGGGTATTAATGATAACAATTCTGCCATCAACGAGTTTATAATTCAAAGGAACAGTCCCCAGTCCTCATCCTGTCAGGACTTACTATTTAGGTTAGTAAGAGTCCTAAAATTCCCACACTGTCAACCTTTTACTCCAATACCAATTTTTAAAAATCAGATACAATATGTATCACTTTAGAAAAGAGGTGACATAAAATATGAAATCAGACACAAAAGATAGTTGTAATAAATCCATGTAGTTCTTTATGAAATAATCTAAGAATGACCCAAGCTGAAAAACTAAAAATATCTAAAAACTAATGTAGTTAGCAAAATGGGATATAAATATTAATAATATATATAGCTAATTACCATTAAAAAATAAAAAGTATTAGGACATCAAAAAGATAAGAAATCAAAAGCCAAAGGACAAGGCAGAGACTAGATGAGACAAGCAAGGCCCCTGGCCTGAACAGGGTTCTTGTCATGAGTTCAAGGGTCTCCAAGGTCAGAAAGGAAAAACTGAAGGGAGCCAGATGGGCACTAGGCTGAAGGACAGGCATGTCTCTCCTCCAAAGCTGCTATTTTGCTAAGGCCAGTATGGAACAGTCTTCCAGTTTTTCCAAGAGAAGGAAATGATTAGGTACTTGAAATTTTATGTCTTTTTAAAGTTTGACACATTTAATTTACATTTTTAAGAAACAGTGAACAAGAAGACAAAAACTCTACCATGACAAACCACCTGCAGGACAATTCTGGCTCCCAGCCGGCTATCTGTGGCACTATCTTAGAACAATCCCCAGGCCTGCAGCCGAGAATACTTGGCTTGCATCAGTAACAGACAGTACAGACGGCAGAGAGAGGGTAAATAAAGTCTGGTGGCTCCAGAGGTACAGATGTGCCTGGAAAAGCTTCAGAAGTGCATGCTAAACATGAGGCTCTCACCAGAAACCAGCCTGCTATTCAGGCAGTTGAGGTGGGTTTGCCCGATCTTATTTGGAACTTTATATTCTCTTTTTAATTAATTTCCCCTAAATTGTACAAGCTTGGGTAACATCCCAAAATTGAATCTGCCCTGTCCTCTTGATATTGATCTTTTTCAAGCCAAACTCACAGCAAAACAATCAAATGACCTTACTGCTGCAAAAAATAAGGATTTAACAGAGATTTCTTTTTCAGACACCATAGCACTACACAGAAATCACAAGAGTAGAAATCACAAAAGTACTCTCCCAGTCTTAAAATAGTAAGGGTACTGTGTCTAGTGATAAGTTCTGCATCGTGTCTAGATCATGCAGAGCGCCAATTAAATGTGTAGACGTATGGTTATGATTATCAATGATAATAACAGTTGTGGTTGTAAACATTTGGGTATAAACAACAGAATAACACCCTAGAATTAAACAGAACACTTGCTGGGCATTTAGGAGTACATCACCCAGGCAACTCAGTGATCAGGGATTTACAGAAGCCTAAATCTGTGCCACCAACCTTGAGGAGGGCAACTGGCAAGCGCAGATGGAAGCCAGTATCTGTTTTGAAGGGCTCTGGGAATTTGATGGGTTCTTTTTTCTGGGAACCACAGTGACTTCACGAGGAAGAACCTGAGACTGTATGAAGCAACAAAATGACCTTCAACCTTGGATCATAAGTGGGAAGTAAATTTCCTAAAACCTTATAGAGATGTGTTCATCCATGTGAAAGGATCTGAATTTTTTTATGTGTGTGTGATTCTGTCCTAGCTAAGCTGCCTTCACACTGAGAAACAGCATCCTTGGGAATACACAGAATTTCTAGAGGGTACACAAGCAAGGAGAG